GTTGACCTTCTCTTGTTAATATTCTAACAATATTCCAGGTCACAACGGGCCTATCTTCGGTAAGCAAAAGTGATCACTTCATCCGACTCATCACCTACATTAACCCGGGGAACTTGAATCAAGTGACCACTATGTTGACGATTGACGGCGGAGATGTTCCCCAAAGGATTATTCCAACAGTAAGAATTGACATTGATACGTAAAACAAGTCTCAATCGGATTAGGCAATAAAGAAATGAATAGCAAAAATCCGGAACCGAGGGGAATTGAACCCTCGGACTTCTGCTTACCGGCAAGACGCTTTACCACTGAGCTACAGACACACTCTTTGCCCAAAAGAAATAGGAAACATAAGGAAGAGAAAAAGAAGGATAACCACTTTTTGCTAAGATAATCATCAAGAATTTAGACAAGGAAACTCTGACTACTATTCGGTGGACTACCCAGTTCAACCGGGCACTCATACCATTGAAATCGACGATCCGACAGGACTCCAAAAAGTCAAATATGCGGCTATAGTTTATGGATATGGCGCTGGTGTTTCTTATGCCTACACTCCGGGAATTAATCTTCAAAGTGAGATTTTTCGATGTCACAAATTCAAAAACCATTTTTTTCAGCGAGCGGTAACTGTTAGACTACGAGGGGAAGAAGGGCACACATCATTTTACTCAAAGTAAAATAAATTTGATCATCTTCTCACAGAAAATGAATTTACACTGGATTACACCAACATTGATTGTTCTATTGACAAGTTCTATTGACTATTGACAAAGTGGAGCACATCGACCGAACGAAAAACACGACAAAACAGACATAATGACATTTCTAAGAAAGAACTTTCTGATTCTGACTAGTTCTGATTTCAGATCAAATCATTGTTCCTAAGCGAAGCACAGTTCTGATATTTAATTAACAAAAAAGTTAGAGAATCTATCCAAACTGCAATTAGCTAAATGAGTTTTGTCTATTTTAATGATCACAACTTTTTAGAGGCTCATAATTGTAAACTTTTTTTATTTATGATAACTTTTGAACTAGCGATCAATGTGGCGCTTCATAGACTGTAGCAACAAACACTCGTTTCCGCCCACAAAGAGATCCAAATCTTTAACAGATTTCAGTTGATTCAAAATCTTCGCGTGTCGGTCAATTTAGGATTCGTAGCTGAGGTATAGCCACAATCCGTCACACGAGTGGATCCGCTCAATCAACGGAAAGTGGAGATCGGCATCTAATTCTTGGATCTGATGTTTCGTAGTCGAAAGAACATTTCAGGATAAAAATCCTGCCAAAAACTTGGATTCCGGACACATGACGCCCAGAAATTATCCAGGGTGTCCGTAGCAGAATCGATCGAAAACCTTCATTCACCTTTGGCCAATTCAATCGCTTGTGCTCGTTCCAATTGGGTTGCTGATTGATAGAAGGTATTTTGTATTTTGTGTATAATATTTTTTGCTTTCTTCTTATTAATTTTTAGGCTGCCACCTCTTGTCATTCCGCCGTTGATCTTGGTCCTTCTCTACTCGGTTTTGCCGCACAAAAGAACTCCGATTCATTCTCTATGTCTTCCCGTTACACAATCTTCCGGCAACTGTATTTTGCGCTAGAATGTAAGTTTACTTACTTACTAATTTTACTAATTATTGCCTTACTCGGAGAATTTTTACACATACATAAAATTGTAGAAAGTAGAACTTGATGAGTACTTGGAGTAGAACTTGGAGGACTGATGCTAAACATTCCAATTTTATCATTTTATGTTCTTTTGTTCTTAAATGACATCTTATGGCATAGGTCAGACGCCAGACGAGTCCGGTTTTGGTCTCGGTACTTGGATTAACTCACCTAGTTCAACCGAAAATCAAAATCTGAAAATTTGGGCTTTGGTTTAAAGTTTGAGGAAGCTAATCCAATCATTAAAAGTAGAGCAAACCAGCGTACGATCATAGTCTGATTGCCAAAAATCGACCGACCACAAGCCATTTTCATTGCAGCGCAATTTCATCAAAGTATTCAAGTCTGGAAACGATTCTAATGTCCATGTTTTTATGTTTTTATTTACACGTAATCTGTAATCTGTTATTTGAAGCGATGTAAAAATTTGAAAATCAACACCGTTTCGCTGGATTCTCGATTTTGTGCTGGATTTTGTGATTTTTCGCTGGATTTTGTGACCATTCCCTGTGACGTTGTGCTCATCGAAACGACTCGAAAACCTTTCTTTTCGGCTCGATTCAGAAATTCGATTGGAGAGACTTTATCGCTTTCCCAGTGTCTAAATTTGGTAGGAAATAAAACCAAGATTGAACTTGAACTTAGCCAATGATAATTTTCAAATAACACTTAATAAAAGCTTGTTGTGAAGCTCAATTATTAGATATTGACTCACTAATACTTCTAATAGAAGTACAGTCAATATATTACTGAGTCAATAGAAGTCTTGATCTTAAAAGTGACCAGAATAAAGGAAATTTTATTAATTTGAAGGACAAGCTCTCAACGCTAGAGTTAAATGTAAAGTGATCAATAAGATTTTCTTTGGTTTCTTAAATAGTAATCAGTTTATTGATAAAATTCGCTTATAGAGAAACTGAAAAAAGCGATCTGATAGGTAAAGAAAGACGAAAAAAAATCCCAATAAAAACCCCACTCGAATTCTCCGAGTTTCAACTCTCCCTTTTTCGGGAAAATCTCTCCCAAAGCGGTCATCGATGCATCAATTGTTCGCTCACGATTGAAAAGAAGCTCTCTAGCTGGATCCTCGACAGTCACTCGATACATCAATTTGTCTTCATGCACAATGGCTCCCCGGGGATGCATTTGAAATGAGCAAACGGTTACATATGGCATCGTGAAACTGAAAATTCATGTTCAAAGAAACAATCAAAGATTCGATAAAAGACTTTCGACGCTTTGAAAAGCACCAAATTTACATAAGAAACATTTTCCATTCAAAGACAGATTTCTGTTTTCAAAAAAATCAATGAAATTTCAAAGAACTTTATCGTTGAAATTGCATTTTCTTGCATAAAAATCTTTAAAATTTCAAAACTAAAAAGGAAATTTTTCAACAGAAAATCGAAGACTTCAAAAAAACCTGTTAACTCAGGTTTATTTTTTCTTTTCGTACCTAATATTTGACATTTTTTTGATAGGATGTGTTTTAGCCACCGTAAAATCCATAAAACTTTTTAGGATAACCACGACGCTGAGGCTGGTAGTCGTAATCAACACGAGGTAACTAACGAGGTAACTTTTTTGTTTTTTTAACCTTTTCACCACGGATCAATTTTAGGAGGACAAAAAAATATTGATGAAGAATTGGAAGCTCCTTCAGTTGCAACGGTATTCGAGCAACCTTGCGAGAGTGAAGGAAAGTCCGCCACGGATTTATTTATAAACAAGCAATTTGGAAGCGAAATAGAACCGAAATTTGTTGGAAAGCCAAAATTTTAGAAAATTATCATTTCAATAAACATTTGCAATAACTACTTTAAACTTTATGGATCAAGTTTTTTTTAACTAGATAGCGTTGAGTTTCATGCGAATCGCCTCACCTCACCTTTTGTTCTTTGTTTTCAAAATGCTCATAAAAAGAGTGCTTTTGCAAATTTTTTGGTTGAAATAAAGTGCGATCTCTTTGAGTAAACTTCACAAACTGCGTTTGTTGTGAGTTCTCCATTGAAAGCCACGTTTGAGGTTGCTCAATAACTTATTGTAAAGAAAAAAAAAATCAGCTATCTTTTTTGAGTTTTCTAGCTTCAATTTTCATAACGCAACGTTAGACAGTTTGATAAAAAATTATTGGAACTATTGGAATTTCTGTTTGTTATTCATCCAATAAACGACTAATCAATCAAGGAAAACAAACGGTGCAAGCAGCGAAAAGCAAAGCGACTGGTAGACGAAGAGCAAGGTGCTCAAAACGGCCAAAGCAAAAGCCAGCACAAATACTGATGCTTGCACAAATGTGCAAGCAACGCCTTGGTTTCCGGATTTTCGGAGTTTGCGTAAAATTCCCCTTTACAGTGTATCCGATAAACAATTTCCGCAGAGCCTGGTTTTGAAAGAAAAACTAACCATAAGCATTATCGGATGATCTCTGTAGATCTGCGATCCATTCTTGCTGTACAACCGCGCATCCGAATCTGCGGAACTGATTAATGTAAGACCAAGAAAATAGTTGTGTTTGGTTTGGTGCTTTGGTGAGTTGATGGGACCACATTTGGTTTACCATTTTATTTCTAACTGCTCAAATCCTTATCAAAATTTCAAGAAAGTTTAGAACGACTTTTAGACTGTCTTCAATAGTTTCAAGAACGTTTAGAACGACTGTCTTCAATAAATGCAGCATTGATTACACTTGAAAGTTCGGAAAAGTTTGAAAGAGCTAGAAAAAAAGTCGTCAACCACAAAGTTTGTTCAAAAAATGGTCATCCAGCAATCACAAAAGTTTGACGTTTTTTAAACAGGATCTTATTCATCAAAAATGTACCCTCATAAACAGAAAGACGTAAATGTCCAAAAAAATTGGTTGAACTTGATGAAAAACTGGAGAAGCTTGTGATAATGTTACATCCAAGAGAAGGCTTGCAAAATATTCTAATCGTAAGTTTCTACATTAAACATTAAAATTTTATTTCTGGTCTCTTTGAATTCGGCTCTCTACGGGGCGCCTCCAGAAGGGGGCCTTTTCTCATACGCCAACCTTCCGTTTCCTCTAAAAGCTCTCACAGTTTCTTTTTAATCGAGCTATTAAATTCTGGAGCATTTTACCCCCTTTTGATAATGTTACATCTTTTGTGCACAAAAGGAAAGTGTTATTTGTTTTTCAATTGGCATATTTGTTCCATAAGATTTTCATAATATTTATTCAATTAAAATTTTCTAATTAAAAAATGAATTCTCATTTGCCAACACAATTTTTGCCTTGCATTCGGTTTTTACTCGTATAATCTGTCGCTTATCCCAAAATTTTTCAATCAAATCCTTCATTTCTTTGCGATATTGTTCGATATCGTGGCGATCACTTTTGTCGTTTTCTCTACGCCGTGCTAAACTTACTTGAATTTCTCAAATCTCAAATTGAAACAAAAATCCAATGTCCCATTAGTTACCGTATTGCCTCTATTAGAGTCATCCGCTAATAGAAGTCGCATTTTTCTAAAAGTGAACAATTAATCATAGTTTTTCCTTCAACTTGATTTTGATCTCATTCGATGAGGAGTCTGATGTGCCTTTGTTGAGATTAAAATCAAGTTGATCGGGCAAAATCTAAGGGAAAAACTACGATAGATTTCTAAATTGTTCACATTTTAGAAGTACTGCTTCTAATAGAGATAAGACTTTGCCTGAATATCTATTCCTAATAGCCTGAATATCTATTCTGCTCATAATAGAGGCAATACATTGTCTGAATATCTATTCTAATAGCCTGAATATCTATTCTGCTTCTAATAGAGACAATACTTTGCCTGAATATCTATTCAAAAATGTTGTATGTTTAAAGTAAAAAAATTCTCTAAAGAATACAAGTGACTCACTTTTAAAAAGTTTCTTCAAAAACTGGCTCATCTTCTCGACAAGTTCACCGATTTCGTTCAATGTTATATAAACAAGTCCTATGACTTCAATAAAAACAGAACTGCGAGATGTCCTCTAAATGGAAATTTCTCGTGCAAAATGAGTTCTCGGTGTCCATTTGTAGTCCGATGAGCAGCCCGTATCTGGCCGCATTGCGGACACTTTTTCGATGACAAGTCATCGTTTCCCGACCCGGCCAAGGAGAATCTCTCTCAATGACGTGTAAAAAAATGAAAACCATTTGATCCATTTGATCCATTTGATCCATTTGAAGCCTCTGCGATCTTATTCAATAACTTTTCAACCAAATACAAGTGTGTATATTGATGCGTATCGATTGTTTCCCATTGATGAAGTAATCGAAAAGCTGTCTCAAAGAGACGATGAGTGACGAGGAACTCTTGTTGATCCGTTTTTTGGCAGCTATGATATGTGACCTGCGAGGACTCATTTGGGGCATTGTCAGGGAATCGTTCAGTTTGACAAGACGGTGAGCAAATACAATTTTGAGTAAATCGATCAGCTGGTAAGACATTCCAAAAGTAAACATAACCTGGGAATTGAGCACCAATAGTGAAGCTCTCCTTGATTATCTCCTCTCCCGAAGGTTGTTCGACAAATTTTGTAGCTTTATGGCCCATAATTGACCCTTGTCCCAATCCCCACGATAAGCCGGAAGCAGTGGCTCGATGAAAGTGGCTATTGCCAGCACCAATGCCAGGACCAATGCCAGGACCAATGCCAGCACCAATGCCAGCTCCAATGCCAGCACCAATTCCTATTCCAAACCCACCATTAATTGCATAAACTTGGCCCATTGAATGATTGCCTTCATGTCTACCCATTCCCAAATGCACACAACAGTTCATCGGCTTGGCATGATTTCGATTCAGCCATCCAAAGATCTCATCGATAGCTTTTGAAACTTTTCGAATTGACTTCTTCTCTTCTGATGCATATCTCTCAATGTCTTTCATCTTTTCGTATAATGCTCTTCGAACTGCATCCACGTCTACCGTGTAGTGCTTCTCCGTTGCTCTCAGTCCACGATTCATTTCACCGAATTCGCGAAAGTCTCCGAAATCCCTTTTAAAAACAATGTAATCCGAAGGAGCCATGCACCATTCAGCACGCGAGTCACGCAAATATTTCAATGGGAATTGGCGACGTCTAGTGAATAGTTTTTCGATGGATTCGATTTTGTGAATGGCTACTTGAAGGAGGTCATTTAGTTCAAACCATGAAAGATTTAACGAGTCACATTCCCATAGACAATGAACAGCAAAAATTAAAACAGAAATCTTGTAGATGAAAGTCGAAAAGAATTAACGAAAAGAAACTCTTCAAATCGATTTTCCTGGACTTTTTCAAGTCCAAACGTGCTACCACGGTGCTCTTTTGATTGTATGCTCATAAAAGGTTTCCTGGTCGCTGTACTCTTTGCTGATAGCCTCGAAAGCCTCTTTTATTTCCTCAAAGATACCTTGTTTCTCTTCCGACGATAAGGTTTCCAATTTGAGTCCTGAATAGAACTTCTCACACTCGATCCGTCTTATTTCATTCACATCGTCGTACTTCGATCGCAAATCACCGAATGTCATCGTGTACAAATCGATATCCTCATAAATCATTCTTAAGTTCAAGTGGCTGAAATTGGTTTTTCGTTGAATTTTCGATGTCCATTCTTGAACAAAAATTTGAAAAGCTGTAGTGATCCCTCGCTTCGGTGCCAGATCAGCTGAGTCGTTGTCGTCGATAGTCGATCGTTGATCAGCGGAATCGAAATGGATAGTAGGGGGTAGGAAGTTCTTTGTCAAAGAACTGAGGCACAATCCATCGGGTTCTTTCAAGTATTGTTGGAATCTTTGTCGTTCCGGTTGCTCATTGAAGTTGAAGATCTAAAATCAAGGTTTAAGTTTTAAGAGTTGATTGGGATACCTCCTTCAACTTAACAGTTTCCCTAAACGCTTCCTCAATACCCCATCGATTTATCATTTTTGTTCGAGGACAGGAACAGCTAAACTGTGACATTTATGCGTTTCGAAACTTCATTTTCCTTGAAAATAATAACTATTAACTTCAATTTTGTCAACGTAAACCTACTAAAAGTTTCAGATAACTTAGCACTCTACTGAATTACACATTCAGATGCAAAAATTGTTAGTGAGAGTTGATAGATCATTTGCTTAACAACAACAACTCTTACCTGATGACAAGTAGTTGAACTTTTTTAACATTCGAGCACCTAGTTGGAGAGAAACTGATGAATTCAACTGGTTCCTTGAGATTCCTATTTTTGGTTAAACTTTTTCAATTCACAACCATCAAACCTTCTCTCGATTAGCTCCCAAATAACTAAACCAGTCGAGTAGACATCACCTTTGTACAAGTCCTGAAAACTCCAATCTTCAGCTACAAAGTATTGGGTTGTCCAGTTATGAATGCGCGTTTTTTACTATTTTGTGAATTTCTCAAGATACCAAAATCAAGAAAAAGATATATATGAGTATTATTCGAAAGCTGAAGATCTCCTCTACATTTTGATATAAAAAGTTTTTGAATTTGTTCAGCTTTTGGGCAAATTGACTGCACAGAAGAAGAGGTGGCCAAAAAATGGAAAGGGTGCCTTTGGATCAAGTTTTGGCTCCGCTCAAATTGAGTTAACCGTTTGATGTTTGGCCAATGGATATATCAATACAACTTTTTAAAAAATATGACAATTTCAGAGCATCTTTACTTTTCTTTTCTTTTCTGGGCGGTTATTTTACACCATAAAACTTCAGGAATAGCTAAGCTGAAATGGATTTTTTCGAAAACGACCTCTCCCTTTGTGCAGTCAATTTCCCAAAAAGTTGAAACTTTTTTATTCCAAAATGTAGAGGAGATCTTCAGCTCTCGAATGATATATAACACTCATATGCATCTGTTCGATATCTTGAGAAATTTACAAAATAGTAAAAACGCGCATTCATCACTGGACAACCCAATATTTGTTTTTAACACATTCCGAGGTTTTTCGATTTTTTTTTTCGGATTCTTTATCTTTCTTCCAATTTAAAAAAGTTTACAGGCTTATATTTGATGTCAAAAGAAAGGACAATACTCAAGGATCATTGAAAACAGATTGAGAAAATATTAAGTTTGCAAAAAAATTATGGATTTTCGAATCGAGACGACCGTGTTTACCATCGCTAAAACACGTGTAATTTCCTTTAAAATCAATTTTTTTTAGTTAAATGTTTCTTGAGCATTTCTCTTTCATTTGATACCAAACATATATCAGTTGGTTGGGTTTGAATTTTTTTTAGGCAAGGTTAAAGATAAAAAATTCAAAAAAAATTGAAAAACCTTTTCGCGAGTGTGTTAAGTTTAAATTCTGTTGAAATGATATCTTTTAAATCAAACCTCTTCACTCAAAGAATATCCAGAAAACTTTTCAGGTACCATGTAAATTCGCGTTCCAATTAGTTTTCCGGCATTTGCATCTTTGCTTTTAAATCTCTGCATTGCACCAAAATCACCGAGTTTTAGGGAGAAGTTCTTGGTGAGAAAGATGCTGAAATGAATGTTCTTTGATTTGAAATTGTCATCACTTTTCAGGTTTAACATCCTGATGAGCGACACGTTCCGATTTGAGATAAACGAGCGCCGAAAAGATTTCAAGTGACCATTTGACTATCGTCGATATCGAGTAATTGAGCGTTGGATCGGTAATGGCTAAAGTGCAGAGTGACAAAAAATCGTCCGTTTTGTTTCTTTTGTTTTTGTTTGTGTTTGGGCCATTCAATGCTACCGATGTTGATATATTTTAAAGCTACCGTAAATACTGTAATTGGACCCCACCCCTCTAATGTACCCCCCTCTAATAGTGCCCCACCCTAGAGGGGAAGGGAAAAAATAATACCCCACCCCTCTAATAGTACCCCCCCTCTAATAGTACCCCCCTCTAATAGTACCCCCCTCTAATAGTATCCCCCTCTAATAGTACCCCACCCTAGAGGGGAAGAGAAAAAATAGTACCCCATGGGGTCCAATTACAGTATTTACGGTAGAAGTAATTACAAGCATTTTGGTGAGCTTCGATTTCAATCTAACAAAAAATCCCAGCTTCTATTCTTGTACAAAAAAATGTCCTCATGGGCCGCATCTGTTATCTGAACAAATTGCGTTCAAAAGACTCTTGTAAAAGAGGAACGAGGTTTTACTGATGTTTCGACAAATGAGAGCGAGTTTTTTGAGTTTATAAATGAAAATGAATTTAAAATCTTGAGTGTGGGTAAAGAAAGCTGTGGGGTATATGTTGAGGCTGTATTTGGTCGGTCAAAAACCGTACCGACTAACCGGCATACAGTAAAATCTCGTTAGTGGAGCCTGTACTTTAATCCTTCGCAATATCTCGCAATATCAATATCACAATATCTTAATTCTTTCCAGAGATATTTTCCAGAGACTTTCAAAATGTTTCACCTTGTAAAGGTGGCTAGCTAAAAGAAAAATGTGCTCCCAGATAAGGCATAACCTTGGCAAGTACAGTACTGGACAATGAAATATGATATTTGAAAAACGATCGTCACTTTCGCGTGTCTGTAACTCCGTTGTCTTTGAGTTTAAACTATTAGTGCTATACATTTTCTGAAAGCTCTTTTCAAGGGCTACACAATGGTAATATTAATATTTAGAAATACGGTAAAGACAAGGGAGTTACAGACGCGCGAAAGTGACGATCTTTTTTCAAATATGATATTTCATTGTCCAGTAGTGTATATGGCCTTCTATTGGGTTGGGGAGAATTAAATGGCATCGAAAATCAAAGAAATTTCTAAAACTTCTAGCAGACTTCATCAAATGATACGCATTTGATGTCAGTAGAAAGGTTAACTAATTCTCTATAAAATGACATTTAAAAGGAAACTCAAACAGCGCTTCAACGCGCGAAAGTGACGCTCGCTTTTCAAATATAATATTTCATTGTCCAGTAGTGTATCTTCAAAATTTCTAAAGAGGAGTTCTAAAGAATCAGCTGATGAAATTTGGAATAATAAAGAAAAATGTCTATAGATCAAAGTAATAAATCACGTTGGCGAGAAACCTTTCTTAAACAGCGAGATATGACATCAAACAAAAAAGGATTGTCATCCAGTAAATAGCTTTCTCAAGTGAAATACAAAGTGCCAACCGTGTTTCAACGATCCCTCTTCACAGTATTCCATAAATATCGGATAGTTCTCTCCAGTATACGAGAAATCGAGTGGTGGAGCAAGGTATTTGACGATATGCTGATGAACTAAATCTTTCAGAATACTCATTTCTGTCTCCGGCTCCAACCAATCCGACCCAACCAGGATTTCTTTCATGATTATCGGGCTAAAGACAAGAATTAGGTAATTCTTTCAGGTACCTGCTTTCCAATAAGCTTATGCGATTCAACAAAACTTGCCATCTATCAAAAAAAAATCACTCACGGATTGTAGGCTCTTAACAGAAAAACCCTCCCGAAGCCACCGCTTGAGATTTCGTCGATCATCGAATCGGCCATGATTAATAAATTTTGAAAATTGATTTTATCGGGTAAAGCCAATAAAAGCTTGTGAACAGTGAAAATTGCAAGAAAATTCGCCCGCGACTCCTTGTTTTTCTCGGGATTAAATTGCGCAATTTTAGTCGCGTGTTCGGTGGAAGCTGGTGGACTCACAAACGTTGAAATTTTGAAAAAAAAATATTACGAGTATGACAATTTCTTGGTGTTGCTTTTTTGAATTACTCTGAAGCTATGTGATTATTTGAAAATTTAACTCAACAAATTATTAGTTTCGGTAATGAATCGATCAAATTTTGAAGCAACTTGAAGCATAGTAATTTGGGATAAACACATAGAAATAGCAACTAAACAAGAAAAACAGTTAGCAGAAGATGGATAGGAGTCACCAGACTGTGACGAATAAAGGAACCATTCTCGCGCTCATCGATCCCTCTACGTGTATTCGGGGGTTCTCTTGATGGAATTCGTCGATGAGTCTTTCACAAGTTTCCCTCGAAAATCCGTGCATCGATCTTGACTGAAAATTATCGAATTTGTTCTTTCTTTACTTTAGTTTTGTCTAACCTTTAAGACGTTGTTGAGAAGCCGTGATGCATAGTGAGGCATAGGAATTTTGATACCAAAAAAAACTGTTAACATATTGAAAAATATTGTCACCGGTGAAGTCCAGACCAGCGACCCTCAGATCAATAGCCTTTCCGCCGCTTTTCGCGATTTTCCTTCGTTTTTCTCGTTTTTTTTGTGGAAGAATGTTGAAGAATGAAGAATGAAGAAAACGAGAAAAACGAAGGAAAATCGCAAAAAGCGGCGGAAAGGCTATTGATCTGAGGGTCGCTGGTTCGACTTCCACCGGTGACAATATTTTTCAAAAATTTTTTGCTAAGATTCTGAAAATGCGTGTCTAGGGGTTATTTTTGACGCTGATCACGAAACACATGTTTTTAGCCTAGGTTTCTGCACGGAAAACTAACGAAACGTGAAAACAGCCATTTTTTGGCTCTGCTGCCCTTTACTAAAATAGCTGTAAAAACTTTTAGAAAAGAGATATCTCAAAACGGTTTTTACCAATCGATCCGTCTTAAATTCAGCTTTAGGATGAGCTATAAAACGTCAAAATTGGACAAATTTAAGGTACTCTCCCAAAAAATCGGAAAGGACTTTTCCATCAACCCAATACATGATTTTACCTGTTGAACCAGAATTAATTATATCAAGAATACTTGTATCTTTAGATTCCTAAATTAGAGAGAGACAAAGAAAAGAATGAAAGTGTGAAGAAAGTGTGAAGAAACTGTCCTCATATTGGGTACAGGGTACAGCCAATCATCGAGTCCCCTCATCGCTCCGTAACACGTTGTACCGTCGTACGTTGTACCCGTCGTTTTCAAACACTTGTGTCGTCAGTTGTGTCGGTTTTTGATCTAAAATTTATGAAAATTGAAAAACAAGTGGAGCAAAATATTTGTTCTTTGCTCTACCAGAACGAATGGAGCGGGGAAGTTTTTGTTCTTCAGGATAACGCAAAACCGCATCGATCTCGGAAATCAATGAACCAAAATTGTGGAGATAAGGAACCAAATTTAGAGAGACAGTCCATCGAAGATCCTTCTTCACATAGTCGAGCGATTTCCGAGATCGATGCGGTTTTGCGTTATCCTGAAGAACAAAAACTTCCCCGCCCCATTCGTTCTGGTAGAGCAAAGAACAAATATTTTGCTCCACTTGCTGCATATGCTCTATATAAACATCCCTGATGAAGGAATTGCCGGGCTTCAGCAATTTCCAGTAGAGGACACCAACAGGACACCAATAGACACAAAACATTTGCTTCTTTTCATGAATGTTCCGCTTTGGCACCAATCCACCGACTTGATTTTTCTTCAGCAACTGTTTTGGCACTACTCGGCCATTGTAGAATACCCATGTTTGGTCGTGGGTCACGATATTCTGAAGTGGAAGCCGGCCCTGACGAAACTTGTTGAACAGCTGACGACATGACCGCGCCCTTTGACCCTTGATTGAGTTGGTCATTGCATAGGGGATTTGTTGTTTTTTTCTCCATTTCCTTCCGGCTTTTTTGAGCCATCTCCACACTGTTTGATGGCTGTAAAAATTGCGAGCCAAAGTCCGGGTCGATTCATCAGGCTTTGTTGAAGATGATGCCGAAGAGTCCGACAATTCACTTTTCAGGGTCGGCCGCTCCCTTTCTTCTGCTCCAATCGAGTATCGCCTTTCTTGAATTTCCGAAACCACTCCCGAGCAGTACTTGCCCCAACAATACTTGCTCCATAAAATTGATTGATCTCTCGTCTCGCTTTGGCCGCAGAAATCCCTATCGTAAATCGTTGGAGCAGTTCTCGATGAATTTCTTGTCGATTTATCATCATTTGCTTGTCCATAAAATCTTTCACTTTTGGCAGCTGAAAGAATCCTTTTAGCAAATGAACATTGAGAATAGTAAAAATAATACAGAGAAAGAAAATTCAAAATATAAAGCAAGATGTGCGTGTACGGGTCCAAATTTTAAAAAAACGCTGGATTTTTATGTTACAACCTAATAGAAGCATCATAAACCTTAACACATTTCAATTTTTTTTTCTCGGCTCTTTGATCTTTTAGCTTAGCGAAACTACTTTCAATTCTTATCATTTTTTACGCAAAGGAGAAAGCAGGGATTATGTTGTTCTTTACACGTTTCATGAAAAACAAAAATTGAAAAAAAAAGCTTAGAAAACATGTTTTTACACGTGCTTCTTTGTATAATTTCATTGTCTGAGAGCATTTTCGGATTCAATGAAGAATATGATTTGACAAAAGAGAGTCCATCATTTGCTATTCATGGGAAACGACTCTTGGCTGCAAACGTGGGTGATTGAGCTAACAACGAAAAACTTGAATTCAAAGATATTCAGTCTTCTAAAAGTCTAAACTCTGTTCTATTCTCATACTGACATCACAAGTGATGTCAGTATGAGAATAGAACTTTTTTTTGCATCTTTGTATGTTTGAATGTAAAACGTCTTCAGCAAAACAAATTCTACTTCAATCTAAAATATCTTAGTGGGGAACAACATCTATTTGAATAGAAACATATTGGGTTGTCCAGTTATGAATGCGCGTTTTTACTATTTTGTAAATTTCTCAAGATATCGAACAGATGTATATGAGTGTTATATATCATTCGAAAGCTGAAGATCTCCTCTACATTTTGGAATAAAAAAGTTTTTGAATTCATTCAACTTTTTGGGAAATTGACTGCACAAAGGGAGAGGTCATTTTCGAAAAAACCCATTCCAGTTTTCCTCGAGTTTTATGGTGTAAAATAACCACCCAGAAAAGAAAAGAAAAGTAAAGATGCTCTGAAATTGTTATATTTTTAAAAACTTGTATTGATATATCTATTGGCCAAACATCAAACGGTTAACTCAATTTGAGCGGAGTCAAAACTTGATCCAAAGGCATCCTTCCATTTTTTGGCCACCTCTTCTTCTGTGCAGTCAATTTGCCCAAAAGCTGGACAAATTCAAAAACTTTTTATATCAAAATGTAGAGGAGATCTTCAACTTTCGAATAATACTCATATATATCTTTTTCTTGATTTCGGTATATTGAGAAATTTAGAAAATAGTAAAAACGCGCATTCATAACTGGACAACCCAATATCTTAGCAGCTTTGAAATTTATCATTTGCCACTGCTTTCGACACTTTATTATGTCGTAAGTCTGTATAAAATGTATTGATGGTGATGACTAGTATCTGAAAAAATGGCTTCAATGAACGATAAAGCTCTCTAGGCAATCACAATCAACGGTTGTGCAAACTGCGATTTTGTTGTCGATTTTTCGCAGCGAGACTGCATTTACTCTTCATATTTGAAGGTCGTCGACGTCTAATTATCAAAACAAAACCTGTTCAGAAGGAGGAGAGATCACTGTTTGCCGGCGATGTCCCACTGTGTTCGGATCCGATTCCTTTCACAATCAACGAACAGACGCTTTTGCTCCATGACTGCAATTTAACGTTTGTGCTTTGATTTTGAACCTCAACGAGTAAATCTCTCAAGGCCGTACTCTTGGTTGCTAGAAAATGCTCTCTATCATTGTGACTTCAAGTTGACAAACATGTCAATGCTACGCATTCGTTCATACAAGAACGCTGTCAACTTTGAGTACGCTGTTTCATTTCGAGTCGCTTCATGGGTGAATGGTGAGTTCGACTCTAGTAGCGTCGAAGTGGTTTTTGAATGATGTGTATGAGTGGACAAGCTAAGAAAGACAATCTCTCATTGTCAGAATTAGTCTCACTAGTCACATCAATAAACAAAAGGCGGTGTTTATGCAGTTGAGGAGAGGGGGACACTCTTGGCCTGGCTCTGTTCTCAACATTTTTTCTCAAGCCTTTTCAAACTTTTTTGAAAACCCTCTGGGGTAATCAAATATGCTAAATCGATTAGAAATGCTTTTAGATTGTTTCTAGAAAATTCACTCAATGATTCAATGCTTCTGGTTCTTTTTCTTCTGTTCTTCTGGTTCTCAACGATTTCGCGACTTTCAGTCTAACGGCTCGAGCTCCTAGAGGTTACCCAAATCAATTTCCGACCAAGAAGTTATATTTTTTTAAAGTTTCAGGCTACAAAGCTACTGTCAAAGGCTACTGTCAAAGCAGTTTTTTGAAAAAATTCAAGCGACTCGAGATTTTTGCATTTTATTGCAAAAGTTTCGATAAAACGAGTTTTAGGCATTAGGCTATTAGGCAGCAATAATTGATTACAAAACTAACGTTATGATTTTCAGAAATTAGAGGAGGTTTTCGCTTTTGAAGTTGCTCATTTTCACTTTCACTTTTTTCATTTTTCACTCGCGAAAACCTCGAAAACTAGATGGACAACCGTTTTTCATTTTGGTCTGCCCCCTAGTCAAATCTCCTCTATTTTCTGAAAATAATAACGTTAGTTTTGTAAAATGAATTAGTATATGCTTAAAAACTCGTTTTATCGAAAAAAAAGAGATTCTAATCTACTATTTTCCCATCTACTTTGCGTAATTATCCAAATTCTAATCTACTATTTTCCCATTTACGTAATTATCCAAATGAAAAATAGGATTTCTTTTAGTAGAAAAAGTTTTTTAAAAGAAAAACGAGTGTGGGTGTTCGAAAGATTACGGTCAAAAAATTAGCACTTTTGCGGAAATGAAATGGAATAACAAAACTTTTGAAAATGCATTACTCATAATTTGATGGCAAAAAAGTTGATCTTATGATAGATAAGATGGGGATTTTCTCGAGTTTCAGAAGAGCGAAAGACTTTGATTCTAGAGCTAGAACTTGATTGGTTCTGGATGTTTGCACTAAAATGCAAAAATCTCGAGTCGCTTTAATTTTTTCAAAAAACCGTTTAGACAGTTTTGTAACCTGAAATTTAAAAAATATGATTTCTTGAAAATTATGAAAAAAAATATGAAAATTGATTGGGGTAGCCTCGCTGAGCTCGTGCCGTTAGACTGAAAGCTGCGAAATCCTGGCTAGGCCCATGTCTGATTCTGTTTTTCCTGTCGTCGGAGGAATCAAAAGTACCAACAATGATGGGGTACTAGAAAACGACCTAAATCCAGCCCAAATATGAATACATTTGACTAGAAAAATCTAAGAGTATTCTTAATCGATTCAGCACATTTAATTACCACAGAAAGTTTCCGAAGAAAGTTTGAAAAGACTTGAGAGAAAATGGCCAGAACCGAGCTTGAGCCTTGAGAAAAATGGTCAGAATCTGGTAGAAAGGTGGCGGAGGTTCAAATCCTCTCTTGTACAGCATGTGAACCCTCTATTGTGTCTTATACATATTCAAATCGCTCAAAATTAGCCTCGAAGAAAGTGTTAGTGGTGCCGGTTAGCTCGAATTCCTCATCCAACTCGAAGAACAAGTTCGATGGGGTTTTGGTGAGAGAGGACACGATTGTCACCTTTGTCGTTAGCCCATCATCATACGAGTACGTTGTTCTAATGCAAATTTAACCCTCTTAAGTTCAAAACTTACAATGACGAGTTCTTAAAGTTGTCCTTGTTAATATTTTTCAACCTTTGATGATCTTGAAAGTTTTCGTTTCTCAGAAAAACGAACACCGGTCCACGAACGATGGTCGAAGTGTTTTGGACACTTTTGGAGTATAACCATTGCCCATTATACAAGGTTTGCTTTGAAAGGCTAAGAAACGAATGGAGCAGAAAATCCCACATCTTTGCTCACTCAGCCATTGGGCAACCAAACTGTTCTATTCATATAACAGATATTTGTATTACGTAACTCCTCGGAGTGAGAGGTGTGCTTTGTTTTAGTACAGAGTGAGGCATGTATAGTGTTGCGCTCTACAAAAGTATGATTATTAGTATTTTAGTATTATTATTGGGTTGTCCAGTTATGAATGCGCGTTTTTACTATTTTGTAAATTTCTCAAGATATCGAACAGATGTATATGAGTGTTATATATCATTCGAAAGCTGAAGATCTCCTCTACATTTTGGAATCAAAAAGTTTTTGAATTCATTCAACTTTTTGGGAAATTGACTGCACAAAGCAATAATTATGACGCACCCTGTATATATGCCACACCCTGTATATTAACTATTAGCTGTACTTTTGTATGAGTTATTATCATCGTGTTTTTTATTATTTATCGAGTTTAATTATACCAACCTTTAAATTTATCAATCGTTATCTTTTAACTTCAATTTTTGTGTTTAGGTAAAGATAGAGTTCGTTTCATTTTAGGATGATCTGGACTGTCCGCTGAACACAGTTTTCTCAATTTTTGTGGGCTCCGATCCGGGTTATGCAATGAATAAACAGTATCATCTTGCCAATATCACGTGATGCTAATGATTCAAATCAATTACCAAAAGTTTCTTGCAGTGATTCCCAGCTCAAATCCTATGATCTCCGTCTCAGCGTTTTCTCCATTCTCGCCAATCAGTCCTGTGTCTATTGTGCCATGTTTATTCAAAGAAATGATGGTCAGTCGGAGAGATTCATCCCCGCCGTCGGAGTCGGAGAGATTCATCCCCGCCGTCGGAGTCGGAGAGATTCATCCCCGCCGTCGGAGTCGGAGAGATTCATCCCCGCCGTCGGAGTCGGAGAGATTCATCCCCGCCGTCGGAGTCGGAGAGATTTTTCCGACAAAATGCCTCTCGTTAAAGTCAGATTGCGAGTCATTAGCTCCATGTTTCATCTCCATATCTTGCCCACTCTTTGATTTGGTTATTTCGAACAACTTTGACATTGAAAGTTTGTCGAAATACCCCATTTGCCTGGTGATTACATACTGGCGCTCCAAAGACAGCGTGCCCAGATTCTAAGTCCGGGAAAAGGCAGCCATCTGTCCTAGGAAGGCGTCGACGGAAGGGAGCGGACTGAAATCGAAGGACCCAGAAATCGAAGGACCCATGTGGCCTCATGGGAGTTCTCCATGAAAACGACAAAATCGATGAAAAGCTGGCTTTTTAATTCGTATGCAAATTGTGCTAAAAAGTTGATTCCTATATATTGTCCTGCTTGAATTACATCCCAGTTTGGCATTTCGTGAATTTTCCATTTGAAATGGGTGGAAATGAAGGCTGCTTTCATGGAGAACTCCCATGAGGCCACAGCCCCTCTCCTTCCCCTCGACGCCTCCCTAGGACAGATGGCTCACTTTTGCCGGACTTAGAATCTGGGCACACTGTCCTTGAGCGCCAGTATGTAATCACCAGGCAAATGAGGGGAATTTCAATTACTACTTGTTCGAAATAATCAAATCAAGATATGGAGATGAAACATGGAACTAAGGACTTGCAAGCCCGCCTTAAAAAGAAGCATTTTGGCGGACAAATGATTCCATTGGAATTCAAAATGTGCACAACACAGTGAGGATTTTGAGAGATTCGAATGTCAATGAATGAAATCCACAAGTGCCCTATTTTTGGAGCAATAGAACCACAAAGGCAGGATCAACATAAGAAAAAGAAACGTTTAGCCGAATACAACCAAAACCTCAACACTGATCCGATACTATCTTCATACAACTACCTGTGGTTTCTGGACGATCCCCATCAATTTCCACGTTGCCAACACATTTCTGGATCCTTCGATTTCAGTCGCCTGGTGAATAAAACTGCCTTAAAGAACTTGTAGATATATTTTATCGCAAATTGACTACGAAAACGCATACCGTAAATACTGTAATAGTACCCCACCCCCATAATGACGATGCGGAGTGTTGCGTAGTTTAGCTTTGGACGCGTTTTTCTCTACACTGGTTTATGCTACAATGTACGCTTAGGTATCAAAAAATAGCCCTGAATTTCAGCTATTTTTTGATACCTAAGCGCGCATTGTAGCATAAACCAGTGTCGAGAAAAACGCGTTCAAAGCTAGACTACGCAACACTCCGCACCGTCATTATGGGCGGTGGGGTCCAATTACAGTATTTACGGCAAGTGCCTAAATCAATAAACCATATTTAATTAAACTAAATTTACAGAAACCAGACCAAAGATGGATTGAGTTGCAAGTCGAGGCGCTGCGTGGTGGAAGCCTTGAGATCATTGGGTCAGCCGATGCGAACGATACCGATAAATGCTCTCAACCGATTACACAATATTATTTGAAGTTAGAGTTAAACATAAAATGTTTAATAACAAAGTGACATTTTCAGCTACACCACCGCCCCACTTGAGCCGATCTTGATGAGAATCGACTGTCTCAAGGTCGCTTTGGGTTTGATTGTTAACGAAAACGGAAGTTAGCTTGCTGACACCGGCTTTCTTTTATTTTTCTAACTTTCAGTAAACATAGCTGTACAGCTGTACAGCTAGATAACAAAGCTTTGTACAGTGCTGACCGAAAGAATATGACATTGCTCGATTTTTGAGATTTTGCTTTCACTTTCGCAGTGTTTTTGCCTACCTGATTGGGAGAATCGACCCCAAGTGTTTTATAGAGAAAGAGAAAGAAAATTGCAATCACATGCATAATTTTCCTTAGTCATAAACGCGCCTTTTCAATAATTTGAGTGACTCCAAAGGTGAAAACTCAAAAACATCAGGTTCAACTCAGGTTCAGGCCCAATTTTCACAATGATCCAGTGGCTGGAGGGCTCTAAAAACTTGCTTTTAGAATCATTATCAAAAATCATAAGAATTAAATACGACTAAAAATACCAGCTTCTGTAAAAGACGTTGATAACCGAGAGAATCAATTTTGTTCCCCTAGAAAAACCTGGTACGATCCTGTACTGTACATTACAAAGTTCTCCGTAAGTTGCTCACCTTTTAGTTTTGTGTGCCTATTTCCTCAATTACACAAATCAATTTAGTTGAATTGGTGCTACGATGAGAACGATACCGATGTGAACTCCGGGTATCTGATTCGATCCAAAACACCGCGTCCCTATCCGAATGTGACCTGTTCGACGATCATCGAATTGAACGAATCGCTGCCTCATTTCCTTCTCAATGGCTACAACTACTACATGTTTCTCTATAAATGTTTGTGTTAGGCATAAATATAAATTGAAATCCTTTAGTTTACAATGACCCAATATGCCTCTCGTACACTTGTCTCGATGATCCAAATTGTTATATATTAACTGAAATATCGGTGTATTGCGATGTCGAGGATCTGGTAGTGTTTGTTGCAAACACAAGCGGGAAACCCGTCTACGGCCGGTTTTTTCGGCTCGTGGTTTGGGGACGCACATCGGCGCGAAATAAGGCAAAAATGCGTTTTCTATCGGATTTTTCTGGGAGTACCTTTTTTAGATGCGGAAAATTGTGCTGATTCCGAATCTGAAGGAATTTTTCAAATCCCTTTGACAGAAATTTTTTAAATTGAGTTTTAGCAGTTTTTTGGCCATTTTGTATGGGAAATTTTGTGGTACCCTGCAGTTTGGAGCTCGTAACTCGACAATGAGGGTCTAGAACCAAAAACGAAGGGATAATTTTCCGTCCGGACGGTGCATAGTCGAGTCCGGGGACTCAAAGAAGAGACTCAAGGCAAGGGGCTCAAAGAAATTTTTTCCTTGACTCATTCCGAGGCCACAAGTTCAAAAAAATGTCTAGTTTGTGTATGTGCATTTTCGATCTCGAGATCAATAAGTGTATAACGGGAAAAACAAATCTTAACTCGCAAGAAAATTCGCCGGGAAAATCGATCTCAGCGAAACCACTGCTTTCCGCTACGCTGCTATTGATGTCGAGACCAAACGTCGTAGACACAAAAACTTTAGGAAACCTGTGCAAAGCCCATTTGCACAGGTTTCCTAAAGAAATTTTCAGTCAAAGTTGAACAACCTACCTGAAAGGCTCGATTCAATTAAATGGTCTATAATTTAAGATTTAAAAATTGAATCAACTCATGGTTAGTTTTATTAGAATCTATATTAAATTTGAGTAAAGAAATAAAGAATCTGTTTTGTAAACTTACTGATAAAAACATAGAGAAAATTAGGATCAAAGTCGAGATAAGTGTAAGTAAACTTTAGGAAACCTGTGCAAATGGGCTCTTCTCGTATAACGGCCTTCCATTGGAATTCAAAATGTGCACAACACAGTGAGGATTTTGAGAGATTCGAATGTCAAATCAAAATTCACAGAACAGCTTCCGATAACCCTCTTATGGCCGTGATCATGTGTCAGGCAAAACTTTTCAATAACGGCTATCTAATCGCTGAGGATGGAAACTATTTCTCTCTGAATGCCATCTCTTTTAGAGCATCCGAATGGATTCGAGGTTTGACTGGTAGTGAGCAAGGTATAGAAGGAAGCCTAGAACTAAATATTAGGTGGGACGGTGAAAGTGAGAATTTTTTGCAGAGTATTTTTCTAAAAAACCCAGCCACACATTTATTCAAGGTAATCGCCATTATTATCTATTATTCGTTGCCATTTATTGGGTTGGAGCACGGATCCCCTTCTCCCAGGAATTCTTGGGCTGCGCGTCAAAGAAGTCGCGGGGTCAATTTTCGACCTCGACGCGATCTTCGAAGTGCTCCCCATCAAGTTCTGCAGCCAGCTTCCGGAAAAGATGAAAATTCGAAGCAGCTAGGTCAGGGCTCTAGGTTGGATGACTCCTTCAATGGGAAAACTCCCAGCCCAGCTCCTTCAATTTTTGTTGAGTCAAATTTGCAACATGAGGACTTGCCTTGTCATGCAAGAGAAGGACCTTTCCATGATTTGGCCGATTTTTTGTGATTTGTTCGGATTTGGATCTAGCTATTCTGAGTACAGGGAAGCTGTGACAGTCGTGCCTTCAGGCAGCAGCTTCCAATAAACTACTCCACCCAGATTCTACCAAATGCACATCATAAACTTCTTCTGGCGCAATTCTGGCTTGAGGTCAGGTTTCGGTTGCTCCCCGGAGACCGATCCACTGTTTGTGTCTCCGATAGTTGACATAAAGTACCCACTTCTCATCACTAGTAATCATGTGTGGAAGGAAGGAATATCTGTGTACCGGGAGAGTAAGGTGGCAGAAACTGTGAGGCGCGGAAATCTCATCACATCTGTGAGCACATGGGGAACCCACGCGCCAAATTTCGAAACAATTCCATTGAATGGAGATTGGTTATCACCGATGTATGAGAGGCCTTTAGTTGTCCTCCCAGAGCCCTGGTTGATTGTTTGTTGTCGATCTACAGGAGCTCAATTAGAGCCGTTTCATTGAAGTCACTCACTCTTGAGGTCTCGTCGATTTTTTTAGCTTTCGCCTTGTCTAAAAAAGTTCACATCTAGCCAATAGACTCATGTTTGGTGTCAAAAGAAAGAGAAATATTCAAGGATCATGTGGCTAAAGTCAGATTGAGAAATATTGAACTTGAAGAAAGTTATGAGCCT